GAGACAGTGCGATTGGCACAGGACAGAACGGAGTTTAGGGCTGTTGTACATAGGGTCGCTATGAGTCGCAGGTGACTCGACGGCACATAACAACAACAACAACAACAACCCCATAAAGCCAATGACTTCGTCTACCCAAGCTTTTGCTTTCCAGTCATTACAATAGGGTGATAATAATATGTACTTTATAGAGTTATTGTGTGGTTGAAGGAGATAACCCATTGCAGACCACTTTCTAACTCTCTCCTTGCCTCACAGGAACACCGAGACCCCTTCATGGTAGCTGACCTAGGAGTACTAGTCCACCGCCATCAGACCTTCATTCAAAGCATGCCACAGGTCTCACCCTTCTATGCGGTGAAATGTAACAACAACCCTTGGGTCCTGCGTGTCCTGGCTGCCCTGGGCACTGGCTTCGATTGTGCTAGTCAGGTAAGGATTCACCCACTGTGGGTCAGATGAGACCAGTTGTAAGCAAGAAGTCCATCCAAGTGGGTCATGAATAAGCATCCCTTGTCTTGCTGAGTACATGTCATCTACATCTATGATCCAGCATGTATATTGTTCATATACACAGTATCCTCGAGCTCCCCAGCAGCTCTGCGAGGTTGACATGGATGGCCTCATTTCATGGAGGAGTAGTCTAAGATTTGGGTAGATCACTTGGCCATAGGCTCACATACAAGGAGACCGCATTGTCTGACCTCAAGCCTGTGCTTTTAAGCTGGGGGATAGAAAATTCTGAATGATGATCTAGGGGTGTTGGGAGAGCTTGGAGCTGAAGCCAAATGGTAGAAATGATGCTTCTCTGGAGATGAGAATATTTTCCTGAGCCTTCCTTCTCTCTTTTCTAGAAATTAGTCAGTGAAGAAAGGATTAAATTTAGTGGCTGCATCCACCTTATAGGCCTATTTTCCCTTCCAATGGAAAAGGAATCTGTTTGGGCTAGGAAGGGGAGTTGGGGGGGGGGAGGAGTATGGGAGTATGCATGCATTTTGAGCTGGGGGCCATAAGCACATGCATGGAGTATTGCCTGGCCCATTGTAGAGACTCGATAGGGGGAATCCCAATGGGCCCATGCAGAGATCCTGTTTGAAAATGGGGGAGCAGTGGTGTGAATCATAAGCCCAGTTTTCTCCTATGCTAGATGGAGATGGAGCTGGTTTTGGGCCTGGGGGTGACCCCCTCCCGCATCATCTATGCTCATCCCTGCAAGCCCATCTCCCATATCCAGTATGCTGCCCGCCACAGGGTGCAACTCCTGACCTTTGACAGTGAGGAGGAGCTGGTCAAGGTGGCCCAGCATCATCCCAGTGCCAGGTGAGACCGGCAAGAACCTCAAGAGGGGGACAGAGACAAAGCCAGTATCATGAGTGGATTATGCAACACAGAACCTACACAATAACTGCTTGCCTGAGATAAGTGAAAAGGGGCAGTTAAGGCTCAGTTGGGCTATTAAGGTCTGGAAACTGATGGTGTCTGGGGAGAACATTGCTTTTGGAGTGAGATAAGCCCAGTCCAGTTTCCCACAAGATCATGACCTTGTTGTGCACTGGACATGTTTCTCAATGTCTCTAGCATGCTGCTTCTTCATTCACAACATTCATGTGTTGCCTGGCTCCTAGTTGGTGCTTTTTAAATACTATCTCTGTCTTCACACTCACATCTCTGGTTACACTTGAGGAAGAGGTAACTATGTACATGTGTGTCCTATACATGGGCTGGTGTTCAGAGGTTTAATGGGCATGTGAAGACTTAGGAAATTTTAAAACCCCACCAGATTTGGGGGCCAACGTGTCTGGGTTATTGTTGTTATATACTATTGAGGCAGAATCAACTCATCGCTGATCCTCAGGTGGATTTTCAGAGGCTGTAAATCACACTGGGGTAGAACTGGTCTGGTTATGTGTTGATAAAGAGGAGATTTCTTTGGCTGAGCACTCTTCCCCTCCCCCTTCACATCACCCCTCCTGCAGGCTGGTCCTCCGGCTGAAGACCCAGGATAAGGGGAGCAGCTTTCCCTTTAGCACCAAGTTTGGGGCTAGTCTGGAGGTCTGTGAGCACCTTCTCACATCTGCCAGAGACCTGGGGCTGGCTGTGGTCGGCGTCAGGTAAGTCATAGGCAGTCAGAGTCATAGGTTGACATATGAAGCCCAGATCTGGGAGACAGGAGCTCTTGGGTCCCAGTCGTCAGAGTCAGATATGATTGTGACCTGCCTGCCCTGAGGTCTTGAGACTTGGGAGTCTTATCAGAAATACCCATGAAGAGGCCAGTGCAGAACTTGTATAGAGGTTGTCATTTGCAGTGGTATGTGGGAACATGCACCCCAGAGCTGTAGGCAAACATCTCCACCCACAGTCTGATCTGAGTATCTGTGTATCTGTGAGCACAGCATGGTCAGTTATGGGTCCAGTGGTTTGGTTCTGCATTGGCACTGATCCACCATGCTTTACGTGTGATGGCACCTCTCCCTGTGTCTGTTTGCAGTTGCCCATGTCTGTGTGGTTCCACTCTTCTGAATGCACATAACTCATGCATTCTCTCTGTTTCACATGACACTGATTGGACTCAGCTTCCATGTGGGCTCCGAATGCCACATGCCTGAGAGCTACACAGAGGCCATCGCTGACTCCCGATGTGTGTTTGAGATGGGCCGCAGGACTGGGCACAACATGGACCTCCTGGATATTGGGGGGGGCTTCCCTGGAGTGGAGGGCGTGGAGCCCACATTTGAAGAGGTGAGCCAGCGATGTGCGATGGTCCCTGTGTTCAGGGAGATCAGAATGTGTGTGTGTGTGTGTGTGTGTGTGTGTGTGTACACAGACTTTTGTCCCTATGCATGCATCCCTTTCAGAGTGTGCCTCTGTCCATGCAGGAGAGGATTGTGTGTACAGAGACATGCCTTGATTTCATTCCCCTCTAAAGCAGACTCTGAGACACTTGTGTCAGTAGATTATTTGGCAGTTGTACTGTTGTTAGGTGCTATAAGTATGACTCATAGTGACCTTATGAACAACATCTGAAGGCTGTCCTATCCTGTGAGTCCATTGCTATTGTCACTGTGTCAATCCCTCTGGTTGAGGGTCTTCCTCTCTTTCACCAATCCTCCAACTTTCCACACATGATTTTGAAGTTGGTCCCTTAAATTATGAATGTGGACATCAGGAAGATGAAATAGGAAAAGGAGAAAAGTCCATATGAAATACTTATTACCATCATGAACAACTGTACCATGGGAGACTGACCTGCTGAGGAACCACATAAAATACACCTCTGAATTGTCTCATTGGAGAACGGGGAGCTAGGATCTTCACCACTGACTCCTTCCTTTTGTGGTTGAGGAGCTAGAAGTCAAGCACATTCCTTGTGGTGGTTAAGAACTTCCACAGGGGGAGAAGTTGAAGGATGTAGACCTTTGAGGCTGCAAACTATCTACCATGGGACAGATGAGCTCAGATGGGCTGAGAAGAAATGGCAAGGTGTTAACTGCAGCTGCTCCAAAGTCCATGTGACTGCATTTCTCTCTGTGATCATGTGTGTATATGTTTCTCTGTTGAAATCTTGTTAATTCCATCAATTATGTTATAGCTGTCAATGTGCTTTCTCTTCACTATAGAGACTTTATTGTCATCTTCTTCTTGTTGTTAATAGATGCTATTAAGTCAGTTCCAGCTCAGAGACCTCTGTATGATAGAACACTGCCCGATCCTATACCATCCTCACAACCATTGCTGTATTTCAACCCATTGTTGCAGTCATTGTGCCAACCCATCTGGTTGTGGGTCTTCCGTTGTAAATTGACTTACATTATCAAGCAAGATATCTTTCTCCAGAGGTTGGTCCCTTCTGATAACTTATCCAAAGTACATAAAACAAAGCCTTCACACCCTCACTCCTAAGGAGCATTCTAACTGTGCTTCCAAGTCAATTTTATTTACCACATCATAATTCAAAGGCATCAATTCTCTGGTCATCTTTATTCATTGTCCAGCTTTCACAAGGATACAAGGTAATTGGAAATAGTATACTTTGCTTCGTCCTCAAAGTGACATTTTTAGCACTTTAAAGTGGTCTTTTCCTGGGAGTAAAGCCCAAAACCATTGTGTTCATAAGAGACAAATTGGGATCAAACTTAGAAATGCTTGTACAAGGTATAAAGAGACTGACAAATACAACTAGAAAGGCACAATTTGAAGAGGATAAAATAGATGGGACATTCTAAAGATTAAATCCATGTGTACATCAAAAACTTTTTCCAACAGGGTGAAAAGAAAACCTACAGCCTGGAAACAAACATTTGGTAATACCATCTCAGATAAAAGTCTTATAACAAAAGTTTACAGAATATTCCTGGGCCTCCACGAAAAAAAAAAATAAATAAAAGACTGATAACCCAATTACAAAATGGGCAAAAGACGTGCAAAGAATTTTCACAGGGGAAGATATTCAAATGGCAAACAGACACATGAAGAAATGCTCCAAATCACTGGCAAGAAGAGAGATGCAAATCAAAAACACAATGAGATACCATCTCACTCCAGTAACAGTGGCTAAGTTTAACAGGGCAGCAAGTAATCAATGTTGGAGAGGATGTGGGAAGATAGGAATTCTTAAACATTGTTGGTGGGATTCTAAGAGGGTGCAACCATTCTGGAAGGCAGTTTGGCGCTTCCTCAAAAAGCTGAACATAGAAATTCCATATAACCCAGCTTGGAATATACCCTGAGAAGATGAGAACTGAGGCACAAACTGAGATCTGCACACCGATGTTCATAGCAGCATTATTCATCATTGCAAGAACATGAAAATGGCCCAGAGGTCCAACCACAAACAAATGGATTGAGAAATTGTGGTACATTCACACAATGGAATACCATGCAGCACTCAGGAGGAATGAATTTTGTAAATAATTACCTAACTTGGAAGTGACTAGAGAGCATTATGCTGAGTTAACTAACTCAGTCCCACAAGGATAAATATTGTATAAAATCATTATTGTAGAACTGGTATAAGGATCCAAGAAGGGTAGGAGAGGTTGAAAGCAGAGGGATGAGGATGTGCAGGGGGAGGGAGGGATTACTCATGAGGTTGTACAATTTGATGGGGATATGAGGAAAATTGAAAGACACTGTTCTCTAAAACGATATTCGAATTTTGTAAATAAACTAGTAGAGAAAAAGAACAACAACACTGAATTTTTTTAAAAGTGGTATTTTGCTGCAGATTTTCCCAATTCAACACATCCTTTGATTTCTTAACTACTGCTTCCATAGTCTTGGATTATGGATCTAAGTAAAATTAAATACTTGACCATTTCAATGTTTTATTCATTTAGCAATGGTGCTGTCTATCAGTCCAATTGTGGGATTTTTGCCTTCTTTATTTTGAGGTGTAATTCATACTGAAGCTCTTGTCTTTCAACCTCAGCTGCTTCTTCAGTAAAATGGGAATAATTCTAAATCTTACATCATAATGGTCCTATGGTGATGGAAGGTCGGATGATATAGGTAGTAGGGACCACAGCACTGGGCCTGGCCCTTCAGTGTTAGACATATTTTATCTCTTCCTGCTTTCCACTCATATCCACTGCAGTTCTCACGAGTGATCAATGCTGCCCTGGCCAAAGACTTCACTAAAGAGAGTGATGTCAGGATCATTGCTGAGCCTGGCCGCTTCTATGCAGCATCTGTCTTCACATCTGCTGTCAATATCATTGCCAAGAAGGCTGTGCAGGAGCCTGGTAGGTGGACCAAATGGGGCTGGTAAATGTGTAAGGGGTGCTTCTCAGATGATCTTGGGCCATAGCTAGGGGCGTCTGAGGGCTGGGGTTAGAGTAATGACTGTACACTCCTCTATTCTTCCCTTATCCTTGCTCCCAGGAGGCAATAGGAAGCTGGTGTACTATCTCAATGAAGGCCTCTATGGCTCCTTCCGCATGTTTATCAGAGAACGTCTCCCCAAAATTCCCATCGTCGTGAAGGTAAGGAAGCCTTCATGTAGCTCATACATGACCCCCAACATGACCATCTGAACCATCACTCCCAGGTGCGTGGGGTCTCCTCCATTTGGCAGTGTGGCAGTGAATGAACTGAACCCTGGATACAGGTTCTTCCAGATATTCATCTCTCTTGTCTGACTCCCACTGCCTTCTTCCCCACCCCCTGTATCACTGCAGGAGCTCAGCTCAGAGGCACCCCTCTTCTCCTGCACCCTCTATGGCCCCACATGTGATTCCTATGACAAAATCTCCATGGAGGAGGTGCAGCTGCCTGAGCTGGACGTGGGTGACTGGCTCATCTTTCCCTCCACGGGTGCCTACACGTCCACCATGAGTTCTTGCTTCAATGGCTTCCCACCAGCCTCCATCTGCTATGCTCTGAGCCCGGAGATCAGGTGTGCCAGGAGGTGGACGACACAGGACGGGGAGGGTCTCACAATGGCTTAAGCTTAGGAGTAGGGGTGGCTTTCAACCATCACTTTGTGACTCTCACACAACAGAACTCCTTTCAGCTTCAATTTCTTCTTCAGTAAAATGAAAACAATTCCAAGATATATACCCACAGTGCTCCCAGGGGGACGAAAAGAGATAATGGAAGTAGGGACCACAGCATAGGGTCTGGCACATTGATAAGTGCTAGATGAATCTTAATCACTTTCTGCAATCCAACCATCCCCAGGCCAGCTGGTGAGAGCGACCAACCAACCCCCTTCCCTTGCTAACCCACCATAATTGAAATGTCCTTCAGGCCTTTGATTCCCATCTGTCTTTGGGACTTGCCCTGGAAGGTAGACAATTTAAAAGTTGATGCCACTGTTGGAACAAAATAGGACAGCAATCCTCCTAGACTTCTGTGCATTTTTCATCTAGCCCTATTCTCACCCCATTTTAACCTGCCTGGGGTGGGGTTGCCCAGCTGTTGGTGCGCAGCCTCTGAGGGCTGGGAGGAAGGTGCATTACCATGCCATACCTTGAGACACACCTTTCCCACAGGAGACTTCTGGAAGTAGCTCCTTGAACCCAGACCCTGTTCAAGCTGGAAGGACTTCCAGGCACCATGGGTAGGTCGGCACATGGGAACTGTTTTTGAGTCAGGATGATGGCAAGTAGGACGGGATGTTTGAGGAACTCTCTAATCATATGTGGAACTTCCTGAAGCATTTTTGCTCATATTTGGATTATTTCTGATGCTGGGTTTTCTCACCTGCTGCTCTTCAGCCTTTTCCCCTTTCCCTGGCCCTACTGGGGTGGTTGGTAAAGACATTTCAGAAATCACTTCCGTGAGTCCCAACAAGCAAATAAAGATTTGATCTTTTAAACAAAACAATACCACGTACAAGTTGTTCAATACTCTAAGTTGTTAGGAGTTTGGTGTTGATCTATAGTCTTAAATTTATCCTGCCTCTTCTCTCTTTCACAGTATAAAGATGGAGCTCATTTCTCAATCCAAGGTCATCGGGTATCTGCCTGCTCTCCCCATGGCTCTGGAAGTGCCTCTGCTTGTCTCTCTTATAACCAAGATCTATGCATCTCATCTATCTGACTCACCTCCCCATGGACATCTCACAGACCCCCTTAGACCTGGCACATCCGAAACAAGCTTTCTGAGGGTCCCACACTCAGAGAAGGACCATTCTACCACTAGGCCACCCTGCCTGGGCTCTCTCCCTGGCATGGCTACCTTTCTCTTACCTCTTTTCTCCTAAATTGTGATTTTAATAATAGTTTACAGAAAAGTTGGATTTTCATTTCTTCATTGTTGCACATTTTCCTCCCTACCCCTATGAATGGGCTGCCAAGCCATTCACCCTGGAAACATTGGAGAATGGCAAATATGTCAGTATCTTTGCTCTTTGACATCCTTCCTCTTCTGCCTGATACATCTGGTCCCTCCCACCTCACTCCAGGCTGCTCCCATGGTTCTGGCCATGGCTGTGTAACAGATCCTCATGGCCTCCCTAGCTGGGGGCTAGCCATGCTAACCACTCAGGCCATTCATATACATTACTCTGTTGCTTCTGCAGAAGTCCATCTCTGGTAATTTATGGAATACTTGGTAAAGTCTAAGCTCCTGAGCCTGACCTGTGAGTTTTCCAGAATTTACTGAGGACATTGCCATACTACCTCCTATCACTCTGTGTACCTCTTCACTCCAAGCACTTCTTGCAGTCTGTTAATTGTGTCTTGGCACTTTTACATAGCTTGTACCTTCTGCCCCCATCTACTTCTATTCATATCGGTGGCAAGAAGCTGAGCTGCAATCCCAAAGATGCGTGGTTCAAGTCCACCAGCTGTTCTGTGAGAGAAATATGAGCAATCTCCCATGCAATGAACTGCCTTTGAAAACTCATTGGAGGGATCATCAGCTATTGGTCGATTCTGGCCCAATGGTACTACACACACACACACACACACACACACACACACACACACCCTACCCACATTTACAATCCTGAGCACCTACTATGTTTGCACACCATGCTAAGACCACCCCACCTCTCAACAAATCCTTGTGCAGCTCAAAGCCTATTTGCTCTCAGATCCATTCCCATTTCTTCTCCAATGTGACCTTCTCGACTCCTCCTAGAAGTCTCAGCCTCCCTCAGATCTCAGCACAAGGCTCGCAGCCTGGAGCCTTCTGGTTACTCCCAGAATTCCTGCTAGAACGTGCAGAAAATGTCTGGTATTAAAGTTGACAGCCTAGCCAGAGACTTCTACCTCAAGAGCTTTGCTTCTAGACAAATGTAGATTTATCATGACGGTAATGAAACTTAAATCTCAGATCCTTTTCAAAGTCCAGACACTAAATTGCAGCAATTTTTAAATGAATAATATTGTGTTTCTCCCTTGAGTTTTAGGGCTCGTGAGCTGTACAGCACAAAATCTCTCAGAGCTCTAAGAGCTTCGTTTTCAATATCTACTAAGGTTAAAACCACACATACTCTGTCCAGTGTGGTGGGAGGAATTAACTTCACCCAAAGAATGTGGCTTTAGTCTCTTGTTCCTGGAAAGCAATTACTAAGCCCCAGGGATTTCTTGAGTGATTAAAATGTCTCTTTCTTCATGGAGAGTTCTTGACCATACCTGATGGTTTAAGCTAATTAAGTAAATTGTAGTGGAGTCTGGCCACATCTCAGAAACATACAAGACATTAAATAACAGCCTGACCTCCAAGGAAAGTGGGGGTGAGCTAAAGGTGCAGTTCAATCATGTGGTCCCTGAGCCATTCAATCCTACCTTTGGTAATAAACTCCAAATAATACCTCTGGATATGGAAGTTTGGGTGAAATTCCTTGATTTACAATACATCAAAGTGTGTCGTCTTATGTGCCATTGAATCAAGTACCTTAATAGTGACCTTATAAACAACAAATATGAAACCTGCCCTCTCCTGTGCCATCTTCATAATCTCTCATATACTTGAGAGAATTGTTGTAATCACTGTTTAATACATCTTACTGAGGATCTTCCTCTCTTTCACTGAGTCTTTCCAAGCATATTATCTTTTCCAAGGACTTGCCCCTCCCAACAACCTGTGCAAGGCGTGTGAGTTAAAATTTCACCATCCTTACTTCTAAGGATCACTCTGGTTGCACTTTCTCCAAGATATTTGTTCTATGGCAGTTCATTCAGCAGGTAGGGTGACAAATACTGATTCCACAGGGAGAGAACATGCAAGCTTTGTGTTTGGGACCCTCCTAACCCTCCTTCCAACTTCTCATCTTTGTGTCTTTTATGTCATAATAAAGCTGCAATTATAAATTATAGTACTTGATTGAGTTCTGTTATTGATTATAGCAAACTAGCTAACTGACCAGTTGGCCAGAAAGGTAGATGTTGTGGAACTCTGGAACTTGTGGGTGGTTTTCTGAGCTGGTATATGAAGTTAAGGCAGTCTGGTGGAGGGCTGGGCCCTTAACCTGTGATATCTGGCTAACTCTGAGTAGTTAACATCAGAACTATGTTTCACCTGGCAACCACATTCCTAGAATCTGTATCATAAAATGCAAGCATGTCAAGACTTAAGTATAAAAACATTTTGTGATAACAAAACTGGAAACAACATACATTCCCAACAGAGAGAAATAGCTCACATGTTAGTTACTTAGTGAGGTGATAACACAAGTCCCACAAGAGGGTGACTCTAAAGACCAAAAATTTATTTCCTCACAGACAAAGAGACTAGAAATTGAAATTCAGAGTGTGACTCCAAGGGGAAGTCCTTTTTGTTTATTTCAGCTTCTAATTGTTAGTGTTAGATGCCACTGAGTCAATTCAGACTCATAGCGACCACAGAATAAAACATTATCAAGTCTTGTGCCATCCTCATAATCACCACATGTTTAAGCTCATTATGGAAAATAGTATGACATTGTTTTAAAAAAATTAGAAATAGAAGTACTAGATGATCCAGCAATTCCATTATTAGGTATAAATCCTATAGAAATAAAAGTCATGACAGATGATAGATAGATAGATAGATAGATAGATAGATAGATAGATAGATAGATAGATAGATGATAGATAGAGATTAGATACAGATAGAGATATAAATGTATGCCCACATATGTTAGAGGCCACCAGCTGCTCCATGGCAGAAGGGTAGGCAATCTCCCATGCAATTAACTGCCTTTGAAATCCCACCGGAGGATCAGCTATGAGTCAGTTCCAACTCTAGGATACACAACAACAGCTTGTTTATCTCAGCATTATTCACAATAGCAAAACTATGGAAATAATCTAAGTGCCAACCAACATATAAATGTATAAACTGTGGTATATATACCTAATAAAATAACATATGATGTTAAAGATAACTGTAGATTTGTGAAATGCCTCAAAAACATAGATGAACCTAGAGTATATTTATGCTGACTGAAATTAGTCAATCACAAAGGACAAATCTTGTATGAGACCATTACTGTAAAAAGTCAAGAAAAGGCTTATATACAGAAAGGAGTAGTCTTTAAAGGTTACTGAGGGCAGAGTGGGGAGGAGAAGAGAGGACATAGCACTAAATAGAGGGTAAGTATATATATGAACTTGAGTAAAGAAAAAAAGCAATGAACACTAAAGGAGAGGCAACACAAAGCAATTAAAGCAAAATAAGACACTGAGAAAAGCAAAAGTAACTCAATCCTGCAATCATTGTAATAACAATAATCTATAAGTGGATCCATAGATAGACTCTCAAGCTGAACAGTGGTGGGATGGCAAAGGGGCCCACATCCATGAATATATGTATATGTATGACAAGAGTAATTTCTACATATATATTTTATGTCACATAACACACACACACACACACACACACACACATACATATATGATGATATATGCCAAATGCATAGCTCTGGTGGCTTAGATGGGAATTTTGGTGACGTCTTAGCAAGAA